GTTCAAAGAAGGAAAGCCAATCATCACGTCTGATCAACTGACGCGTTTTCCTTTTTCTGTACTCAACCTTCAGAAACCCTCTTTTTAATGCTAAAACCTCTTTTCAATCCCCATCGTCCCTATCCCCTAGAAACCCTTCTCAGAAACTATACCCAAACACAAACTCTTCAATGGCCAAACACCCCAAAAATCACTCTGCCTCCACTAGAAAGAGTACTCATTCTAGAGCAAATCCCCCTTCTCCGCCCCCAGAACAAGTAAACTTAGGGTCCGACCATTCTGAAGGTTTTGCCTCTTCTCAGGCCGATTTGTCTGATCATTCTCAACCCTTAGAAGAAAAAGCTTTGGGAAAACGTCCTATGGAAGAACCCCCTTTATCCTTCACTCCAAAGAAGCCTAAAATAGATCTTTCTAGTTCTCTAGAGTCAGACCTCAATTTTTGGGATTCTCCAAATAGCGATTTCTTCATTGCCCTGAAAGACAAGCCTATTGCTCATGGGAGGGTTGTCGACCTTGATGATATGGAAGCCCTAAATTGTAAGGTAAAAGATCTTTTCGTTTATCAAGGGTGGTCAAAGTTCTTTTCTGTTCCTCCTCCTAAAGTCTATGAACCCCTAGTGAGAATGTTCTATGCAAATCTTCACTCTAGTAAGCCTGATAAATTGGAGTCTTTAGTGTTAGGAAAGCATATTGTTCTTGACTGTGCCATGTTTGATTCAATCTTTCAGTGTAAGTGCTCTGGTTTCCCCATGCTTTTCAAAAACTCCTGGCCCGATGATTTTGATATCTCTTTTGATCAAGCAAAAAGGTGTATTGTTGAGTGTCCATCTAAGTCTCTCCCAAACCAGTTAGGCCCTAGTGATGTTAGTTTCGAAACTCGAGTTCTAGCCCACATTATTGCAACCACTCTGCTTCCTCGTACTGGCTCTTTCTCCACCTTCTCTCTAAGAGACACTTTTCTAGTTTATTGTCTTGTGACTAAACTCAAAATCAAGTTGTCCTCCTGTGTCATCAATTTTATGATTGAAAGTGCAAAAGATCCCACTAGTCTACACTATGGTATGGCCATCACTCACATCCTGGAAGCCCACAATATTTCTATATCTACATATCCTTTTATCTCTGATTCAAAATCTTGCAATTTCAGAGCTTTTGCGAGTATGGGGTATGGGTGTATGAAGGGCTCATGGGTTAAGAAACAAGAAGGAGAAGTAAAGCATGCTCAAACAGATTCCAAACCCAAACCTTCTGTTTCCCATCCTAGCCTCATTGACCCTGACCTTGCTGAAAAGCTTAGTGCCATTGACAATCAGCTATCTGGAATCAAAGATCTTATCTCTTCCACTCAGTCCACTGTTGGTGCCATTTATGCTATCTCCAAAGAAACAGGGTTTGATGTTTCCAAGACCAGAGTTGCAGTTCTTAGAGTAAGGGAAAACGCTATCAAGGCATTCAAGGAGGTTCATGACAGGCTTGATGGAATGAGTGTTTCAACCAATGCTAGTTTTGATCGACTGAAAAAGGCAATCTACAATACTCTTACTTATTTTCTGCGTCGTTAATGTGGAAGTTTAAGACAATGTTCCTTTTGTTGTGCTGTTTTTGGGCTGAAAAATCAGTCGGTGGATAATTTTTTATTTTGTTTTCTTTTTGGTTTTCTCTAACTTTGCCAGCATATCGTGCTATAAATCCTGTTTCAGTATGTGCTTTAGTATGTGTTTTGCTTTACTATTCCCTCTTTATTGATGTCAAAAAGGGGGAGAGAAGATATATGTATTTGTACAGATACATACAAGGATAAGTCGACTGAAGGGTAAGTGCAAGTAAACAAATCGGCACCTCTTGAGAGGGAGTCATAGATCCTGCAGAAGAAGTCGACTGCCTGGGTGTCAGAAACTAAAACCAGAGAAAGCCAACTGCTGCTCTCATTAAGGGGGAGTAATATACAGGGAAGTCAACTGTTGTTTATACATATATTATTTTGTCATCATCAAAAATGGGGAGATTGTTAGATCTGATTTTAATGATGAAAATAATATATTTATTCTTTGTATAGAAACTCATGGACAACATTCAAGATTAAAGGACTCAATCAGAAAAGATCATGAAAAGCATACAAGATTGACGGTATCCATCAGAGGGAATTAAGGAAGGCATCCAAGATTAAAGGAGTCAATGATACTGACAGAATCAATCAAGGCTAAACTGAATGAATCAAATCAATAAAGAGTATCGAAGATCTTGCTAAACTGAAGGAATCAAATCAATCAAGAGTATCGAAGATCTTGCAAGATAATCAATCAAGGATACCAAATCTGGAAGGATCAAGAATTGAAGAAGGATATCCAGCGCCATCAAGTCACGCATAAGGAAAGTCATTAAAGCCTCTTGTCAAGCCATAGCCGTTGCTGAATAACCTTATTCTTGGAAAGAATTAATCTCTTTCCAAGGATCAAATCTCTTGGGTTGGCAAATCTCTCTAGAAATCAAGCCTCTCTCAAAGTATTTAAACTTGTATCTGTATCTTAGCACATATCCTTTGATCGAACCAAATACCATCTCTTTGTTTTACTACAAACAAACATTGTAGCTCTACTAGATCTGTTGTGTAACAAGTTAGAGAAGAAAGAGATAATAACACTGGTGAGGCATTGTATCAAAGAGAAACGAGTGATATAGGAACTGAGCTATTGGTGTATATCACACCAATCACTGTGTACTAGAGAAACTCATTCACAGAAAGAGAACTCCCTTGCAACCCAAGGGGACTGGACTAGGATTCACATTGAATCCGAACCAATATAAAAATTCCAATGTCTTTAGTTCCTGCACTAAATTTCTGCATCTTAAACTATGTCCTTACTGCTATTAATTCATTATATCAAGTCGAGTCATTAGAAAACTAGTTAACTGGTAGCTATAAATTTTAAAAATAAACAATCCCTCCCTACCCCCCCCCCCCTTCCCCTTCTTGTACTTTCAGGTTGTAAGAACACATATTTTGAATTTGCTAGTACTTCAAAATATGTACAATATGGGATAGGTCGTGTAAAACTTAAAAACATGGGCCATTTTTTCTTATGATGTGAAGTCATGTGTATTTTCTTGTAATTCTTTATTATTATGTGTGACGCTAATTTTTAATTTTCACAATTACATAAATCGGCAATAGAACCCAACTGCGCAGCACTATATTCAAACATCTTGAATTGATCAGTGAGCCACAGGATAAAGAAAATAAATTTCATGTCTAACTCAACCGAAAAAATAGTTATGAGGATTATATATTCAAGATTATATAAGATGATAACAGCATTCGATCAACCAAAATGTAAAACTGTTATACTCCTCTCTCTTTAAATCACACGTCCAAGATGTATGGGCTAAAAATTATCATAATTATATGTGTGAGCCTAATCAACATTAAGAAAGCCTTCGAAAGCTGCCAACCGTAGTCAATTCGGTTTCAAAAGAGGACGAAGGCGAGGTCGAGGATTCAACAGAGGACGAAGGCGAGGTCGGGGGCTCAACAGGGGATGAAGACAAGGACGAGTACTCCCTTTAGCAGAGCAGTAACGGTTAGTTTAGGAATATGCCTTACAGAGAATATTCTAGAGAATATTCCTTCCATCTGTACTATTAGGATTTTTGTGGCCCATGTGCCCTTATAAATAGAACGATATGTAGCTATAGGGAGCATTGGACACTCATTGTACAAAATAGTACATTGATATTCTCTGAAGACTATTACTTTGTCATACACATACAAAATACACTTTTTCTTGAGATCTTTTTCTATCTTTTCTCCCACGATCCAAGGAGGATCCGAATATTGCTTATCATCATCTATCTTTGTCGGAAGGAATATCTAAGAATTTCACCCTTTTCGGGTGACTCATATCCATTTATTTACATAAATATTATTTATTATTATTTACTGCATTTAGTGCTACCTTCTTTATTCTTGGATCATTGAATATAACTTTATTGTTACTATTTATTGGTACTCAAATAGTATCCGTGATATCTCGCTACAAAATCGGTTAATCTATCTTTTGGATATTAATAATACTTAAGATTAACTCTATTTTATTAGAAAAAATCTGATTGACTGATTGTTTAAATCTAGATCTGAATTTTGGGTCAAACACAAGACTATACATGAGCAAGGTGGGTGACATATATTGGAGTTCAACATGAAACACGAAAAATATGAATGAGTTTGCTAGCTAGAACTTCTCATTGTCTACTTTTAGTACTGCCTACTATACTAGTTTCAACCAATTAACTACTCTACTATAATTATCTTCTGCTTTTTGGCCTAGCTAGTTATCTAGCCAATTCAGAAACTTGCCAAGAATTCACACGTCTGAAAAAAAAAAAAAAAAAAAAGAAGAAGCTGTAAATGATAAGGTGTGCTATTTTGAGAGTAAATGAGGAAACAAACAAATGTAACCCAAAATCTTCTTTCACCTTTCTTCTCTATTGCAGTGCAGATTTGCAGTTTTCTTTTTCCCGTTACTTTGTCCTTTCAGCTTTGAGCAGACACGTTGACCGGCTCAAAGTGCTGATTTATGATCCATCTCTGTAATTGTAATAAATGCTACTTAATTACGACAACCAATAAGGCAAAACTATTCTGATAATGTGAAAAGTGCCTCGTTTCTACTTTCATTAATTAATTTATTGCACTCTATTCAGAGAGACTCGTTTGTCTACCACTCTGTCGAGAATAGTGCTACTATCTTTATGATATTTGACTTTCGCACATTCGTAATTACTTATCAAGGTGGGTGACAATGGGAATCTTGAGCTGTTAAATAATACAGAATTGGTATGTTATACTTCTGAACTACTTTAGTATTAATATAAGTATTCCCACTTATAAAAAAACAGAATTGTAATTGCTTTTAACTCGAGATGACGAAACAATCATCTTAAACCCTTTTATTCTTAAAATTAATCTAAATCCCAAGTGAAAGTTGCTATAACATTAGATAGGAAAACGCAGAAAGATTGGATATTCATAAAATTAATCTAATGTGGTTCATGAGCTAGCTTTTGACATACTAGCCTCAATTTGAGAAGTAATGTGTCTCTACATGCCTAACAACAGGTGGGTCAGGTCGGATAAAAACGGATAAATATTCGACCCAACCCAGTTAGGCATGATGTGATTTTTCTAAAACAGTGCCTCCCATCGTGTAACAACCATACAAGAAGAACAAAAACCAAATAGACACTATAAGACAAATGCCAAGTGCTGCCAATATTTCTCTTTGTTGTTACTCGAAAATAAAAAACTAAAGCAAGCCTTTGTGGATGCTCACTACTAAGCTGGCCCAAGAAAAAAAACAAAATATAAAATCTGAAGTATCAACTGGTAACTTCTTGATCTAATTCCAGTAATTGATTAGAAGAGATGTCAGTGACTGCTGTAGCCTAAATGGGAACCTCTTTGTCTTTTAACACTTCATTAAAAGGCCTCTTTCGGGTATTTGTCTTGATGTTACATTGCTCAGCAAAACCATTAGACTTAGTCCTCAAATTCTTTGATATTAGTAATTTCTTCTGGTATATGCGAAAGACGCTCCAATCTCCTACTTGCATCATGTTAACATTCTGCATAACCACGAACCAAGTTAACAACAACAACAAGCCCAGTAATTTCTCACAAGTGGGGTCTGGGGAGGGTAACATGTACGCAGGTTGTTTCCGATAGACATGAACCAAGTTAAGTTTATATAAATAAACACAGATATGGGATGGAACATAGTGTTCATACCTGATCAGAGGAGGAAATTGTGACAAGGGAATATTGGTGCATTATCCAACGCGTTCTTAAACATTCAGAACGCGTTGTTTGGTAGAATCGAAGGGCTTTTTTCATCCCAAGAAGTAGCCGTTGTTGTTGTTGCTCGCTTACTGCAGAACCCGAAATTGGAACCACAATTAACTGGCCTTGGCCAACGGCCTTCCAATAACCAGAACAATCTTTGCCACTGATCAATCTGCTGCAACCCTTGCTGTTTATATCTCCATTTGCTTTGCTGAAGAAATACCTATTCTCCCTCAAGTCCCCTGCTATAAATTGTCATTTGACTAGTAAATAAATTTTTGCTACATAAGAAACTGACAATAACATCTACTCGTATTACATATAACATAGAATACACACATACACACAACAAAAGATGAAAAAAAGACTAATCTTGTTCAAGAAAAGGAATGAGTTAGCATGGTGACTTAGCTAGCGTTGAACATAAATTTGATTGAAAGTTATATTGAAAAATAATTTTTGAAAGTTGGAGTTGTGTTTCGACATATATTTTATTTAAAGAAAGAAGTTCTTGTGAGTGTAAGAAAAAATTTCATCCAAAAATTGCCATTACTTTTGAATTTTTTTCCCCAAAACATGATAACAATGTTTTCAAAATTTTATTGAAAAAATAAAGCCAAAATCAATGGCCAAACGAGAGGTTAATTTACCAGGCAAGTCAGAGGGAAAGGAGACGAAAACATCCAGTATTTCAGGGATGATTAAGGCAGGCAAAGGCATGGAAAATATCTTTCTACTCAAGTAGTGAACCAATAGCTCTTCATCAGTGGGACGAAACCTAAATCCAATGGGCAGATTTAAGCTCCCAACTGTAGGTTTTGCACCCTTCTTCTGCTTCTCCATATCTGTGGACCGACTGCTGGAGTTTGAAATTTTTTCTCTTAAGCCAACGACAACATCCTCGGCCAACTAGAAAAATGGCAAAGGACTAGGCATTTAGGGGGAGTTGGGGTGAGGTTTGTCTTATATATGTCTTAGGGAATAGAAAAGAAACATAGTTGATAGTTGTACAAACACGGATTCCATGACTATGACCATAACATATCATCTCCAAAATTGACTAGTACTCCAAAACACGGAGTTGTACGCAGTACAATTTAGATGATTTAGTTTGAGTCGGCACACAGTTTAAGAAAAAGGACAATGCTTTTGAAATTTATAATCTTAAAAGATTAAGGGGTAAAAGTTTTGTGGGCCATGCCATTTGTATGGTTACAAAAGCTTCTCATTAAGGGTAAAATGGGTAAAATTAAGAGTTTAAAGTTGAATTATTTCCAAATTTAAAAATATATTATTTATTTTGGAACATACTACAAAGTAAAATAAGTCATATAATTTGAAACGGTAATAAATAAGTAGACAGTGGGACGTGTAATAAAAACACACCAAGCCCCAATTAAAGAAGTGCTAGGGTCAATGTTCAACAAGCACCGGCCATCGCCCCAAAGTATTGTGTCATGTGCTCTACTCAGATTCCCCTCCTCTCAATAAGGAAAATGGTAAATTATTCAATAATCTGGTAGGTAGTGTGTACTCCCATGCCATTAAAAGTTTAATAAAAAGATGAATTCATTCTTAATTCAAAGGTAGTAGTTCCTCAATAGAGCTGCCATTTGTTAGGGCCGTTCCTCAATGTAGAGGCCTGCTCAACTTCTAAAGGCTAAAGCCCAATATTGATAAACTTACTTTTCCTAAAGCCAAAATTTTACGGTATAGCCAGTTTTCGGACTGGTCAATCAAAAATAGTCAGCGTTTACCAAGTCAATGAAAAATAGCCACTGTTTTGATGCAATAGAGACCGGTCCAGCATAATATACTGGAGTTCGGTGCACTTGTGTATGAATTCCAGCATATTATGCTGGACCGGTATACTTTGCTGGCTCCAGTATAATATACTGGAGTTTGATGCTCCAAACTCCAGTATATTATATTGGACCATTATACTTGCTGGAACTCCAGTATATTATGCTGGAGTTCTAGTGTATTCATGCTGGAACTCCATCATATTATGCTGGAGTTCCAGCATACTATCCTGGAACTCCAGTATAATATGCTGGAGTTCAAGTATACTTATGCTGGAACTCCAGCATAATATACTGGAGTATTTTCCGGGTTTTGAACGGTGTTTTCTCTCAGATTTATCTCTACATAAAAAGTGGCTAAATTTCGATTACTTTTGAAATTGGGTTATTTTTAAACGACCAATTGTAAATCTGGCTATTTTTAAAAATATTCCTTCCTAAAGCCTTCTTTTGTAGACTCTGAGATTTGGTTTATCTAGTTACCAATCATTGCATTATGAATTCACATAACCATTCCTTTACAACTTTAATTTTAAGAAAATAATCTTTTTAGATCTCTTATGTGTAAAAGACAGATTTCTTACGTGTAAAAGCAAATCTCTTATGTATAAAAATAGAGGCAGGGTCAAAAAACTAAAAACACGTTTGTAAAGAGCCACAAAACCAATTGACCCTTGCCATCGAAATACAATTTTTTTGGGATTTTTGGTTTGGATTTTCGGATTACAGATTGGATTTTGTATTTAATTCTTAAAATTTTTGGATTTCGGATTGGATACTGGATTTGGTACTTCGGATATTGATTTCCAAAATATAAAAATTTTATATTTTATATTTAGTCCATTATCCATATGCATGAGTTCAATAACTTACCTATCAGATATAATCTCATATATTCAACATTAATTACTAAATTACTCTCATTATACTTTCTATTTGGACACGGTTTTGCAGCTGCTGCTTCTTATCGGCCGTATTAATGTCTATGTTGTATTTTTTTTGATAATAATTTCAATACTTAGAATACTTTATTTGGATGATTGCGGCAGGAATGAGGAACTTTCCACGCAATATAACATGAGTAATTCATTTGGATATTGTTTTTGTAAAAAGTAGAAACATGCTCAAAACCGAAAACCATAATAGCCAAACTGATTAAACTGAAACCGAACTTAAAAAATACGATCAAATCCGAATTTATTTGGATTGGATTATCATTTCTTCAATCCGAAAACCGAAAATCCAAACCGAAATTCTTATATCTAATCCGAACTGCCCGAACGCCCGCCCCTATTTACATCCAATTGTTGTTTATAAGAGTACAATATTTTTCCTGATAAAAGTTAGTAATAATTTGATAGATCACAGATTTGTTAAATTACATCATTCCTCCAATACTATGGCCGAAAGTACAAATTACATAGGGACATCACCTAACACTTTTGAAAAGTTTACATTCAGCTGAAAGATAATTTTCATCAGTGTCGGTTCAAATTGCTCTGCGATTGAATACGAACATATGATGACAAATAACTTTCTTTCCTTCCGTTCCTTAAGGGTAAAATAACAACCATCTCCCCTCTACTTTCGTCGGTAGAAATGTCACATATAGCTCGCTATAGACATCCGTTTATCCTAAATTACATTAGTGTCCCCCTCATCGTGAAGGTAGACACGTCATCTGAAAATAAAGAATACGATGCACGGGGAGAATTTATTCCCTTTTCACCATTTCTAGAAAATTTCTCCATATGCCAATAGGCCGACGTTCCCTTTTTTATTTTTAAGTTCCAAAAATTTTTAAACGACGATTTTATTTAGAAGAATTTCTCTTTGCAAACATGAAAATATAAAGAAAAATACTTTTGTTAGTTAAATGGTACGTATAAATTAGACTGATGTCAGTTAGAATGTTGATTTCTCGTACTCAACTACCTAAGGTTAAGGTGTCAATCTTAGGCTTAATACGCAAAACTTGCCCGAACGGATACGGCCGATGATAATAGGTGAATTTGACTATAATCACACCTTAAATAATCACCTTCTTGTGTAGTTTTAATGCTAAAAGTGATAACAAAATGCTCTTATTAGTGCTTTTCATGATTTGCAGGTGATATATGTATAAGGAAGGCTAAGGAGCAGTTTTGGAGTCAAAATTGATGAAAAAGAGGCCAACTGTGAAATTTCCCAAGTGAACCATGCAAAACAGGCCGAAGATTCAGAACACTAGGTCCACCGCGGTTCCACCGCGACCGCGGCAGAACCGCGGTGGAAAGCAGCTGCAGAACTTCAGGGATTCCGCGAGGGTGTTTGGCCGCGGTTCTACCGCGGCAGGCGCGAAAACTTCAGGGGTCAAAGTGTCAAATACGAGATTTTTAGACCTAAACCCTATTTAAAACATTAGACTTCGCCCAAGAGAGGCATGTATTGATTTTTAAGGTTTCTTAGCAGGAAAAACCATTGTGAGAGAATACTCCAACCATCTTTCTTCTTTTCTTTTGATTTTTATGATGAATTCAATCTTAGTTTATTTTCCCATAGCCATGAGTAGCTAAATTCCTTGTCTAAGGTTTTGATGGAACCTATTGGGTGATGAACTTCTTGTTTATGTGAATACAAATTGCTAGTTTAATCTCTATTTGTTCAACTTCGTGTTCGTTGTAGTTAATTGACAGGATCCTCAATTAGCTGTGCCTATTTAGTGTGCATAACTTGGAAAAGAGTGCATATTTAGGGTATTGTTGAACAACACCACTCCTAGATTATTAGAGGAATCTATAATTGCGGGTTTAAAGGCGGGATTAGGGATAACGAAGCCTTGGGTGTAATCTAAAGTGAATCGTGCTAAATAAATTAAGCTAGTGTATCTCGGGAGAGGGCAATAGTAAATTATTGTGAGTACTCGGGAGAGATTTGCGGTAAGATTAGCGTTCATGATTGATAGAGATGTGTTGGTAAATTTGTATGAGCATAAACAGAAGGGATTCCATCAATAGGGGAAATCATTGCCTTAGCTTTTCCTCATAATTGTTTACAACCTTATTAATTTAGTTTACAGCTACTTAGTTACTTGCAAGCTAGTTGTTAAAGAACACTCAACTGAGATTTGAATATTTGG